AAAAAAAAAAAAAATTATATAACAGCATTATACATTTATTTTTTCTAATACTTTCAGTATACCTACTTATAATTTTGCATTTGCTTTCACAAGTTTCGAATAGAAGTTTCTGCAGGTTTAAATGGATGCGATATTAATTTAAATAATGATAATCTGTTAAAAAAATGCCTAGCTAAAAAAATTGCACTTAATCACATTTTATAATATTAATGGTTTTAGGTAAACAGATGTGTACCTACTATATAAGTTATTAACAATAATAATCACTTAAAATATCATTCTCCTCATTATCATAAGACGTGCACTGAATAAATTAAAATAGACATTTTTGTAAAAGATAAATGAATGTAAAAATTGTACATCATATTAACCTGCTTTTTTTCTATTATATTTTCAAAGGCTTCGTGAAAGCATGTTTCATTCATATATAATGTATAGCAATTAAAAATGCTATATTATAGAGATTAAAATGATTCACAACCATAGTTTAGTTCACAAAGGTATCATTCAATTTCTTTTATCATTTATTTGTCGTTTAACTGATATTTAATACAAATGTACCGATGCCGTTCCTCTGCTAATGCTAAACTGCAACCTCATTTACTCGTATTCCTCTTATTCCGGTTTTTTTTTTTTTTTTAATTTCAATAATACTTACTAAGTCGTCTAAATGCAAATAACGTTAATTGTTCTGATAGTAAAACAATAACCTAGTCCCCTGAAGTTTTTTTTTGTCACATTCTGCCAGCTCAAAACTTAAATTTGATACAGACATTTTCGGGGTACGATTAACTGCAAACCTCCCTAGAATAGTCTTTCAACCATCAGGTTAATCGCATATTAGTGCGCTAATGAACCCTACAAAATAATAGTGAAAATAAATGTAACTAAAGTGACATAAGTGTACATATATAATATATATAGTATAGTACCTATAAAATACAGACCCGAGAATACGTATTAATGTTTTAAAGTGTTAATTCGTTCTGGTTTTCGTTTTGGTAAATGTACCCAAACACATTTTGACCTATATCATAATATACCAAATCCTTTGTCATATATAATTTCATACTCAACTGACTTTTTATTTTTTAATTACTTATTACCACATAGGCTGCTTTAAGTAAGCAACAAAACATTAGCAGATCTTTTGTCATAACTCAGGCAGTAACAACTTTGTGAATAACCATAGATTCCGTCAATACAATCGCGTTAAGATCGTTTGAGCCAACTCTTACCTTTTGTATTTAAAAATGTATATTGGATCCTAGGCCTTGTACTGAACTTATAATAATTATTAGGTATTTGGTATTGAAAACAACATCGAAATGACATTATTGTCTTGGGGTTTTACTATTTAATAGTTATTGGCACAGCTGCTGTAATGCTACTTAATTGATAATAATGGAAAGCGTCATGACATTAAGTAAATAAAGTGATTCAATTAAAATTATTTTTTTTTAATATTCTTAAAATAGTCCTAAGTACGTTCAAATGGGAAAAAAAGTATTTTCGTGAGAACGGTATATAGATCGGGTAATTTCCTCGTCCAAACTGTACACGACCTTCGAAAATGTTCATTCAAATGGTAACCAGTATGTATATAAAAATGCAGTACGGATTTAAGGTCAATTTTCCCAATTGGACTACGCCCAGCATCGATTCTACCAGTATATACTACTTATACATTTTTACCTATGGCCACCCTGGTTATTTTGTTACTTTATTTATAAATCAAAATAAATTTAAATTTTCAAAATATTTATTTTTAGACATGTGCATATGAAATAGTATACCTAACTGTTAATTTTATTCACATAACCTACAGCTAAGAAGGAAATACCAAATTCAAATTTTATAAATAATATCCTAATGGGATAATCCAATATATTTATAGGTACATAAAAATATAGCATAACTAAAATAATTATTAATTACATATTGTAAATAATATAGTTTAAAAAGTAATATACTACCAATACTAACTTATAATCTAGGTATTAAATAACATATCGATTACCACATCTAGGATATAAAATAAAAATGTAATACACCATAGTATTATAACATAAAAATAATTATACGTGTATAATTGTATAGTTGTTTTTTTTTCAAAATGTTGTAAATAGTTCAGTAGTTTTAGTTAAAATCATATAAAATATTATTTTCCTTACGCATTGATGCCAAGTTAATGAAGTGTAAATGATTCTTATTTTTTAATTTATAATCTTTTATAAAATCTTTTATTATTATTATTTTGATTAATATATATTTTTTTTCTTTTATAAACTAACAAAAAAATAATGCTTATTTAATATTGTAAATATCATACTTATATGAATCAAAACGAATAAAATGTTGCGCATAAGTTAAATACTTTTTGAAATAATCTATAAAATTTAACACTACACGGCCAATTGACAGCTTATAAACATTAAAAATCATGTAAAATAACAATATCATCACAATCACTATAGTTGAATGTTCCAAAACGTACAAGTTCAAGTGCTATTATATACATACCACGATCATTAATTCATAAAATAAAAATTCCAGTTTCATCATACTCGAGAATCCGTGTACCTTTTCTAAATAAAAAAATTATAAAACGTCTTTTTCCCATACCTATTCAAGTTAAATAAATCGATCGCATGCGCGTTCAATTATGAAATGTATGGGTTGGCAATAAGTAATAACTAATTGGAGTAAATATAAACAATATCAAGTTGGAAATAGCTACCAACAAACAATAAACAGTAATAATGTATTCTTTATAGTGATAGTGAACGTTCAATTTGGAATGAGTGTCATATGATATAGTGATATTTTACACAGCCGAAATGTGCTTGAAAAATAATTATACACATATTCACAATATTATAAAACTGTGCTAACTGGTCGGTCGGTCAAAATTATTACGTGTCTGTAAAAATATACCTATAACATGATATCATAACTACAGGATATCAGCGTGTTTCAAGTATATTGCTCGTGTAGCGCGCAAAAAAAAATAAAAACACAAAAAAGAAAATCATTATTTTTGCCAGTCAAGACTTACTTAAAACCATAAGTTATACATTATATATTAATAAATTATATATTAGGTATATACGAGTACATATTATGTATTATAAAATCATGAAAAACCGATAAAATTATACATTGAACTACTAAACTTTCCAACTTGCAATAAYTATTACAATCGGACGTATATTATTGTACCGACGTAGTTATTATAATACCTATCTATATGGACTTAAAGAATACCACTGCGAGGTCGTGCCAGAAAGTTCAACATTGAAATTTTAGTATACTACACTATTGACTATTGTTAAAACATTTACAAACATAATGCTATTCGTACTATGTAAAATTGTCTCAGCATTCCGGTACGACTAAAATGCGGGATACGATAATCAGTTCCGTTCAAAACGAGATTCAAGTTTTCCTTCTAACACAAAATAATGTGGTTTCATGAAACACTATAATCTAATCTAGCTGCAATTTCAAAATAACTTTCAAGACACTATGGACATTAATTTATGAGAACATTTGATATTTATATTATTTAAAGATCTTTACATGTTTTATCGTTACAATAAATAGCTTTCTTCTGTCAATTTAATGAAAAAAAAAAAAATAATAATAATAGCATTTAAGGTGCTCTAATACACGGCCTATGTAGACCAGACCGTGCGTGATCCCCAAGGATATGTTTAACGTCGTCCTTAGTTTTTCGATGCTCGCGCCGTTCGGTACATCCAACCTAATGGCCACGTATAACTATCGCAGAGGTGCAACTGAAAAATAATAAACAGACACTATAATAGTTATCATATACATATTACGCTTAAGAGGATGTGATATTCGCATGTGTTGTCTCCGTCTTACAAGTGCGTAACATGGACATTTTTACATTTAGCAGAACTGCAGAACACTTCTAGATCTGTAAGGTAGTTTAAAATTTAGAGTGAATTGATCTTTTATAAAAATTAAAGGTAACATTATTATCGAGTGCTTTTCATAGGCTTTTTATTATATTTTAATTTTAAAGTGAGGTATTTTAAAATTGTAAATTTTTGTATATCTTTAAATACACCTACCTCACTTTAAAATTAAAATATAATAAAAAGCACTCGATAATAATGTTACCTTTAATTTTTATAAAAAATCAATTCACTCTAAATTTTAAACTAACAGATCTTCACGTGCTGAATGTAAAATTTTCTATGTACGCACTTGTAAGACGGAGACAACACACGCGGGTATCACGTCCTCTTAATAACTCAAATTATAACTTATATATATATATTATTGCGAATTATTATTTAGGTATACAATATGTTAGGTATCAATTTATTATACCCGTTTTCAGTCGCCACCGTGAATTATACGAATTACGAGCGCGGACGTACCGCACGCGAACACCGTCAAACCCAAAAGGACGAAACAGACGTCCTTGGCAATCACATACGGCCTGKTCGACATACCGTGCAGGGCATGTGTCACGCACAATTCGACGATGTACGGGTAGATCAACATGTTGCACGTGTTACCCAGGTATCCGATGAGCCCCATGATCACCTGGAATCCGCTGGTGGCCGGTGACGCGACTGCGATGGTAACTGTTGATAAATCAGTGCCCGTTGATATARTTGGTGTGATGACGTCGTATWATATTATAGTAATTTATAAATATGATACACAGTATTATAATAAAAGACATAATGTGTTTATGTGCTAGACCTTGGAAAGTCAATTTGGGTAAAATTGATGTACAGGGTATCCCGCGAGGATTTAGCCATTGCGATATCTCACGAAACAATGGAGATATCAAAATTATTCGTCTGGTTTTATAATAAGATTCACAGGGATAAGAACTACAATTATTTCATTTTTTAATTTATTTTAATGTTTTTGAAAAAAGTGTAAAAGATATTTTTTTTATTTTATTATTTCGAAAAAAAAATTAAAGATAGACGTTTTGTAGAATTTATTTTTTTGATAATATTGACGTTTCAAAATTTTATTTTCATTAATTTCCTGATTTTTAATAATTTTTCAAGTTTTGAAGAAATAAAATATGATTATAACTATTAGGAACGCGGAAAGTATTCKGCTGACCGTATGGGAATGCGCGTGGAGCGGCGGGTCACATGTTTGATAACATTACGGTGTTAAATAACTCGAAATTTTTCTCGAAACTAAAAAATAATTAACGATCGGGAAATTAATGGAAATAAAATTTTGAAGAATCGCGGAAAAAATGCCCACAGAAAAAAAATCCACGGAAAAAAAGCCCATGGAAAAAAACACAGAAATTATATATAATAAGAAATTATCAAGAAAAAAATGTACCTATGATGATGTATACCTACGTTTAATTAAAAAAATATGAACTTACAATAATAAAAAAATAATAAATTTGGTTAAATTTGACCTTGTTTAATTATTGCTTATAATTGATATAAGAAATTTAATTTCTTACTCTTCATTCATTCTAACCCACTTTCCCACAGCAAATATCTACATCAAAAAGAAATCGTTATTTTTACAAAGAAATTTGATATATTATACTATTTTGTTTCTAGTTCTATTGGAACATTAAAATTTAAAATGATTAGATCTATCGATTTGATTAATTCGATTATGATGCACGATCTTCTCGAAAGAATCCGGWTGCCTTTATTATTGCATAATAGTTTGTGTGTGTGGTGTGTCCAACTAATGTGATCAACACTTATCGACTAATTAATGACAGCATTTCTGGTGATCGTGATTTCCCAGTCAATATATTTTAAGTTTATAATACAAAATAATTTTTTAAACATGCTCACCTCTGTTTTTCCATTAATAGTGCATTTATCCAAATTCTAACTTTTAAAATTTTTAAGTATAGCCCAGTATATAGGTACCTAAAAATCGTATTTTAAAATTCCTGATTTTTTTATAATAGGTGCTTGGGAAGTGTCCTGTGTGGTGATACAAACATCTATTTTTTCAAACGTGGACCCCCTCTCCCACCATTTTCTCGGCGAATTATTTAATGGATGATTTTTTTTTAAATGTCGATCTATCAATTTAGAATGTATGCATACAAATGAGTTGTTAATGCTTAAAAAATCACACATTATCATAATATGACATTTATATATATATTATGCATAAATATGAAGGTCTTACCTAAAACCGAACACAACGTGAATAATATTTTGGTGAAGGCAGTCAATCCCGCAATCATTGACGGCGAGTAATACACAGTAGACGGTGGTTGACTCTTTTTAGTATCGCTTTTCACTGTCGCCAGCTTTATAGACGATACCCACAATAATGTGGACTCTATATTAAATTCTCGGTGAAACAACGTGACGTTCACGGCCACACACGACTTGACGATTGTCTGGCACCTATTTACAGGAATAAGTATATTTTTATGATAATCGCCTATAAATGACAACAATATATGAATAACCATTTGTAAGATTTTTGAATTTTATAAAGTGTGTTGTTATTACTAAAACGTATTTTTGCCCATTTAAAATATTATGCATTGATTACGTATCTCCCACTTTATCATAATAATTTTTTCAATTTTATCAACTTCATTAATATTCTCGATATTATGCCGGAAGCTCGTTTATTATATAATATATTATACGCCAATCCAATTTTTGTTACCTGATAGTCGGCATGATTAYCGGTTCATCTTGTTGATCTAAATAACCACACAGGCCAATAGCTATGTACATGTTTGTTATTACAACCATTGAAATGTTCAAAAGGTTAAATGGCCTGATGAAATCATCCTGTTTGTTCAACCTGCCTTCGATTTTAAACACCTAAACCAATTTGAATAACACTTATTCCCATTCAACAAATGATATATGTATATATAAGCATCAAATTTCTTTGATAGTTAATAATTAATACATTTATAAATATACATATAATAATAATGATATATGTGTATAATATAAATCTATTTAATAATTAATCAACATTATATGTATTATAGTATATTTTAACATTTTTATGTACCTACTTTTTTTTTAAATATATTTTTTAGGAAATCATTATCTTAAAATTTTAATTTTAAAAGAATTAAATTAAATTATAAATTACAACAAATAAATAAAGTAATGGTAACTGACAAATGTTTGTAATACCATTTAATATTTTTGACTGACATCATGCTTGTATAGAATATCAGCTGACTTCTGTGAAATATATATATATGAAAAACTCTACCATTTCCTCAAAATTTTCAATACAAAATAATATTAAATATAATAAGTAAATGTTTAATGATAATATATACATATCTACCTGAAATACAGGTATAAATGTGAACAAAAGTATTCCAAAGAATTGGAAAATGTCCGTCAAATTTCCACATAACAGCCTCTGGCAGCCGATATCCATGTCTGACGTGAACATACTGTAGAAGATGAAACTCAGCAAAACGGTACATGCGATATTGCTGAGGACGTGCAACGATGTCTTAAATTCACCGTATGGCAATAACAAAAACACCATGCACACAACATCGAATCCCAGAGAAACATTAAAAAAATTCATCGAAAATCCCAAATCGGTGATCAGCTGCAGTAGACAAAGAGGTGATGTGCCCGATTATTTTGGTTTTTCGTAGCATTTATGTGATACAAAGTATAATATTTTGTAATATACTATAACAGTAATAGTGATTAAAAATGTTTACTTAAGTTTCGTAGCTTATTTTTATTATTTTTAAAAATGTTAATATTTATTTTGAATTTGAGACGTAATAATAATATTTATTGATTTTCAACTAAAATACAGTATTTTTGTCTTACGTTTAAACAAGTATCAATTATTATCTGGTTATGTGTCCGTTACATTCTGTATATGTTATCAATTTATCTTAAATGAAATAAAAATGTCATAAAGCTAGCTTATGTTAAAACCGATTGATTTTATAGGTCAGTCATAGGCGTAAATTTGGCTTGCTAGAAGGGGGGGCTAACGCTAAGATTATAATTTATAATTTATAACATTAGAAATTTATAACAAGGCTATACTATTTTTTAGGGGGGCTAAGCTCCCCCTAAGCCCCCCCCCCCAATTTACGCCTATGTTATAGGTATTCACATTATATTGGCTAATTGGTTCAGTGAATATCTAACACTAAGGCAAACAATTTCAAAGTATATGCACTTACTTAAAAAATTTTAATAATTCTTATGATTGAAAAGTTATTATCATTATTATTGACTATGGCCAAATTAAACAATATTTACAGGGTTGAATTAAATAATTAGATAACCTTCAGCAAACAATAATACACGATACATTATAAACAGTGTTGGAAATAGATAACTACAAAATTATCTAGATAAGATAAGATAATTATAACAAATTATTATATAGATAAAAATATAGATAATTAATATTTTTTTAGACTAATTTCGTATTTATACTGCTAGGTGTTTAGTATTCTTATATTGTTGGATTTATATCAATATAATGATACAACGGCATAATATTTATAACAACTATGGATTGTGCCTTTTATTTTAATCACAACATTTATATCAACRCCTCAATCCAAAATGCCAAAATATTCATACGCATATAACAACTAAGAAAAAAATAATATCTCAAGAAAAAGTTGGTTTTAAATAAACCATGTTTTGGCCTATATATTTTCGTTCACCAGTTTCAAAAGTGTGCTGTCATTTAATCTATTATAAAACTTTAAGGTAAAATTGTTACTATTATACGACCTGTACTAGTTTCAATAGTTTAATCTATTATAAAACTTTAAGGTAAAATTGCTATTGAAGACTTTACGTCTTTTATTGATATAATTATTATTAACACACGCGGGTACGATGGCCTCTTAATTATTCAACCTAATAATCGAGACTTGATACTCTATATTAGATAACTAGATAAGCATTGTATGCGAGACAATCAAAAATGTGTCAAGATGACAAGTGACAAGTCAATGTACCAATGAACAGCACTGTCTTGCTTATCACGTCAAAGTTTAAAATTGATATTATGTTACCTTTAATAGATAATGACTAACGTTCCCGGACATTATATTGTTATCATCTGACTAGCCATTTGCAATAATATCTGAATTTACAGCATTTATGGTAGATAACAACTTATAAACACATAATATTACGTATAGGTACCTCGTGAAGTGTCGACGACACAAATTTCGTGTACAGACAGCTTTTCCCAAAATTCAACGTCAGGTTCGTGGCGATAAACATAAACCTTTCAGTGTACAGACAAAATAATGGACATCAGGTATAAACAACTGGACCGTTCGTAAAAATTCTATATCTATATAATATAATAATAATATTTTTATAAATGGCTCGTCCGTTATCGCCTATTGGTGTGACATTTTACATGTTTGTATTATACAGTGTTAATCAATGCACAAATCACTTTGAGTGTGTGAATAATAAAAATATCATTATTATATAATACATTATATTTTATAGTATAATATAATATTATTGTTTACTTAAAAAACGGTGAAAACCATCTGATTACTTTCGGGCCATGTGTCAAGCTGTACTCGATCAAATTCTGATACGAAACTGTCGGCAATCTGTGTATTTGACATAGTTTATACCTAAAATGGCACTATAAAAAACATTTAAAATCAGATGTATTGACTTTTGACGGAAAATCTATTACTCCTTACGATACCCCTCCCCACATACACACACACATACGGACATACGTCACATTTCATCACACAATATTATATGCAGTTTGTATTTTATGAATGCAATTTTCCATGGTAAATATTGTGAAAATATTTGTATGCTCACCAATGTGGTAAAGGAATAAGTAAACGTCAATCCGGCGATAACGCACAACACAAAGCCGATTATCACACCCACCTGCTTAAACGCGTGCGGTAGGCACAACAAACCGAGTCCGATGGAATGGCAAACGAAGTATGTAAACGATAAATATAACCTGTAAAAAATAAAAATACAATAAAAATAATTAAAAATTAAATAAATAATACATATTTTGAGAAAATAATACCAAATTCGCCTTTTTTACGACAATGTATACGTATAATGTCTCAATGCGATGTATGTAAATCAGTACCTGAGAATACCAAGATTTTTTTATTGGGTCAAACACCATCATTAAGTAAAAGGAAACAATTAAAAATACAAAACAATTTCTAACTTTGATTTTATTAAGTATAAATATATTATGATTAGTTTACCAACTCAATAATCATTAGTTTAAGATTGTAAAAAGCGTTATGATTATGGCCAGGAACATTACACTTTTAGTAACCTCTAACATAACAACTCCAGTTACCTAAGTCTTTGCATAAATGTTTACTTTTATAGAAGATAAAGCTGTTATGAGCCATTGTCATGCAAAATTCAGCGGAAATAATTTTCATTTTTATTATTCTTTTTTTTTATTTAATACCTAAGGTATTTATAGAATTTTACTCGTTTTGAGTAAGAATTGTTTTGCGTAATATGTGCTGCAGTGGTTACAATACGATATGATGCGGGGAGGACTTACGTCTCAGTAGATGGGTGGTTGATAGGTGGATCGTAGTTTAGATAATTATGCATCATTGGGCCAGACGAGGTTTGCGATAAGCATGATCGCCATTCCGATTCCAATGCTGAAGTCTGAGGTATGCTGACCAAACTGGACTCAAACGATGTTTCAGCACAACTGCTGCTCGTGTCCACGTCTCCATCGGACATTATTTTAAAAACGATCGAGTAAATTCTAATGTACTAACATGTATTTTARAAAATCGATTTTAACGCGTGAAATGMATATAATATTAATAAAAAGTTTTACACGCATTTGGCACTTAGCGAGATATCTGCAACTGCATATAATGTGCTGATAATATTGTATGCAGAAACAATACAAAAACAAAACATCGTTGTCTCGACACCAATTAACCTAACCTAATTAGCATACGGAACATATTGAAGCCAGCTACTATAATAAGGTTTCCAGAGAATTTCGTCAAATTTGTTTCACATGAAAACTAAATACGTATGATAATTATTAATTAATGATGCCGTTTGAAACAATATATTTTTTACTTTATACATAATATCTTAATATTATTATAAAATATGTAACGTTAAAACAATATGTTATCTTGTAATCGATTTAAATATTCATTAGGTAATATTTAAATTTTAAAATAAAATTCATCATGTTTTTTYWAAWCATAAWWTACCTACTGTATTACCTATATTATTTAATGTTTATGAATTATAGTAAGATTTCTTGAATATGAAATAAATTAATGTACCTACTAAACTACCATAAATATATGCAAAATAGGAATATTTCCATTTACACCGACAATTCCAGAATAATGTTTAAACAAATTTAATACAGTAGTTTATTGATGACAGAGTTTTTCAAAAATAAACAAAACAAGGAATTTCAAATAACAGATGAATAGATRATTACATACTATAGCCAAGCATTCTATACCTATATTATTATTATTGTGGAAAAAGTGTTTATATTGTCTCAAAATACTATATGCGTCCACGAGGACAAACAATGTAACAACGACGAAATGGATTTTTAACAACCACGGTAGATATCTGGGGCATGTAGTCCTTTGATATCGCTCCAATTCAGAATAACAGTTATATTATATCTCTTGCAAGACTCCGACAAATATGAAAATATTTCAAATGCCTTTAAACTTTAAACGTATTTGAAAACTTCTTTGAGAATATAATAAGGTTTTCGTAATTACTTAAGGAGATAAAAATACATTTTCATACAAAGACTTCAAAAATACGAATGGAATATTACAAAACAGTCATGTTGGACTGTTGGCTGAGAAAACACTAATAAAGAATAAATTAATATTTTATGGCTGCAACTTAAAGTGCTCAACAATAATTAAATTATATATTTTTAATATTCTAACATACCTTAATTATTGTTACAGATAATTTACATTTAGTAAAATATATAATTTCCATATAATCTAAAATAATTTAAATTAATACTTAAGTATAGGTATCGAAAATGTTTAMATTTTATATTTTAAGCGGATCTGATGTATGATTAGTTTTACGATGGTTTTTAAATGTTGTAGTAKGTCACTCATCACATTTTAAAGCAAAATAATGGACAGTAGGTACTCTTCAAAATATACAGGAAAAATGAAAATATTAATTCTAAAAAAAAAAACGAAAAAATGGGATTTTATAATAAAAATTATAATAAGTATTTATATAACTCAAAA